TAGTCATACTTCTATAAGTAAACCTTTAGATAAACCTCTTATTAATCTTCCTATTATAGTACTAGAAAGTGATTAAGCCTAGCTACTCAAGATAATATTACAGTTGAAGCCATTGAAAAATTATTTAATAAAATGTCTACATCTACTATAAGTAAAGGAATTACTGTCCTAACACAACAACCTCCACTAGAATTTCCTAGTTATTCTGATACGTCTAGCGATAATGAAATCACTAAGTTAGCACAACAATTTCAACATTCTCATTTTAATAGAATTACACACCCTAAAGTTAACCCTACCACTCTTACCAAAACTTGGTACACTAAACCTACACCTCCTGATCTCCAATTTGAAGAAATCAATATTAGCAATCAATTTTCTGTTTTTGCTAAAAAAGTTTCCATTTCTAATGTTGGTTATGGTGGTATCCTCCTTTAGAAAATAATTCCTCAGTCATCTGAACAAATTATTCGTTTCCATTCTGGTGTGTAGAACAAAGCACAAGAGAATTATAGTACTATTAAAAGAGAAATTTTATCTATTGTTTTACGTATTAGTAAATTTCAAGATGATATTTTAAATCAAAAATTTTTACTATGTGTTGATTGTAAAAGTGCTAAATATGTTTTAGAAAAAGATGTTCAAAATATTGCTAGTAAGCATATTTTGGTCCGCTAGCAATCTATTTTAAGTATTTTTGATTTTGATATCGCCTATATATCTAGTAGTCAAAATTTTATTCCTGATTTCCTTACCCGAGAATTTGTACAGGAGGGATAGGGATGGCAACGCCTTTTCCTACCATAAATTAAAAGTCACCTATTATAGAGAACTTGTTTACTAAACTGCTTACCGTATTGCTTACCTTAAGACAGCTCGCAAAACTACTCACCGTGCACAATTTATACAATTTCATCAAATTACTAGTCATCGCAATTTACTTGCTCATTATACTAATTTCCTTCATTACCATTTGAACAAATTAGATATCCTCAGTGGATGCTAAATTTTGTTCATTCTCTTACAAATGTTTAGTCAAAAATCCCAAAAGCCTCCCAGCAAGGCCATTGTTCCAGCCAGTCAACCTGTTGCTCTTCCTCTTGTTGATTTAGTCAATCGTTACCAATTTCTTGGTAATATTCCTAAACCTAGTTATACTTCTGCACTTGCTACAGACCCATTTGCTTCCTCTTCCCAGTCACTTACTTCTTATCTACCTAATCCAGTCAGAACAACCAGAACTGATTATGTTAAAACCCAGTCTATTAATTTATTCTTCAAGGAACCTATTCACAAGAATATTCATAATGTTCTTGACCTAGTTAAATCATATTTCCCTCTTGGATGGCATTTTGTTCCTCTCCATCCAAAGAAGTCAATTACTTTCTGCAAAGACATTCTTTTTCATCATCAATCAATCATTATGAAACCTATTTATAATCGAACCTATACCAGTAAAATTATTTACCATTCATTATATATTCATAATATTATTTTTCTTGATGAATGGGGTCTTCCTTTTCAACTTCGTCATTTAGTCGGTCATACCATCCAATATAGTTATTATGATTATATAGATGTTTGGTTCAAAATCCTCTTATATCAAAATGAGTCATATACTCACTCTTGGTTTCTCCAGTTTGATCATAAATTCAAGTCAACAATTCCCACATGGTTCCTCAGATGGTGGTCTCAACATGGTGTCATATCTGAGATTATTCCATCTGTATTAATGGAACAAATTCACTATTTCTCTTTTGTCTATAAACTTAGTCAGCATCAAAGTCAATTTCCTTTATTACTCATTTTTATGTCCAAATGCAAAGTCACCAGACTGCATTTTGTCAAATGGTGGGATACATTTAAATCTCATCGAATAATTGAACAAGTCCAAAAAGAATTTCCAGTCAATTCTCATGCTCCAACTCCAGCCATAATCAAAGCTTAGCAGAACCTAACTGCTTCAATCACACAAGGCAACCCAATTCCACCAGTCAGACTTGGAAGCCCAACAACCAGCTCGTCCAAGCCCAAGTCATCTAAATCCAAGTCAGCTCAGTCAAAGCCCAAAGTTAAGACCAAGTCATCCAGTGATGAATTGATCTAGATGGTCAAGCTATTGATGGCCCAAGCCAAGTCACAGATTGAGGATGAAACCTTTGAAGAATCTAGTTCCTCCGAGGCTTCAACTAATAATGATCCTTATGGGCCCCAGTTTCAAGATGCTCGGGACCCATATGCTTAAACAGTCAGCCATTGGATTCTATATATGTACAAATCAGTTTCAATCACTACTCTTACTTTGAGAAAAGCTATTGATATATATATATATATATGTAACAACCCCGATCTCTGATTAACGTTAATTCATGATTAATTATGTCTACTGAGTAATTAAGGAAAAACCCTAAGTTAATTATATGTGCAATTGCATTATTTTGTGTTTATGTCTGTTAGGCGTAGAAAGATTTGTTTATGTTTAGTTTCGGTTGTGAATCAAAGGCCTTATCGGCATCCGAATCAGAAATTGACTTGATTCATGTGCTAATTAGGATTTTTAAAATTTTATGGTAGGTTCAATTGAAAATCGATTTGGAACGAATAAATTAGAATAATTAGTGCCAATGTGATTAACTTAAGTCAATTTAATCAAGCCAATTTAAATAAGCCTATATAAGGCCACTTTAACTCCTTTAGTTGGGGATTACACTTTCTTTTTCCTTCATTTGATGCTCAAAAACGTGGGAGAGAATGAGAGGGAGGAAAATTGAGATCAAAGTTGAATTAAGGAAGAATTGCTTGAAATTGTGGACATTTGAAGAAGATTAGGGAGTTTCAACTTCAACTCTTGTGAATTCAAGACTTAGGGTAGGAATCCACCCTCTTAATTGTGCAATTGAGTTAATTCATCTATGAATTCAAGTAAATTGAGCTACGAGATGTAAGAATCAAGCTTAAAAAGTAAATAGGAAGATCAATTCATGCATGTATGTACATTTCAATGCATTGAGAGCATGTTATTAGGAGATTCCCTAATGCATGTTTGAAATTCATCTTAATTTAGGGAAATCATCAAGTTTCAAGTTGTTTTATAGCATTTGATCATGTTTTGAGATGCTCAAGATCAAGAGAATTCATGCATGTTATGTTCATGAAACATTCAAAAAAATTAAGTTGAAATTGTATACAATTGTCATGCTTTTGGGCCATGATTTCTTGAAATGATCCTTTAAACATGTTGTTTTATGAGTTTCTAAATGTTTTCCAAAATTTTGGCCCAAGAGGATGAGTTTTGAAATGTTTGGTTTGAGTTTGAAGCTTGGAGATCAAATCTGGAAATTCCAGATTTTTTTGCATTCACGCTCGAGCGAGCACTCTGAGTGTGTGCACTTCCGCTTGAGCGACCATAAGCTCACTCGAGCGTGAAATGCATGTATCCAGAAGTTCATTTGTTTTGCAGCATGCTCGAGCAACATAAGTCACGCTCGAGCGAGGATCTGAGTCTCACCCTCGAGCGGGGATGGAGCGTCCGTCGAGTGTGAAAAATAGGTAACCAACACTTTTTCAAAGTTTACAGTCCACTCGAGCGAGGAAAGTCACGTTCGAGCGAACCTTCATTTCTTGCATGTTCGCTCGAGCGAGGAAATCCACGCTCGAATGTCGACTCTGTTTTCAGCAAAATTTAAAAGATGTTTTCAAGTGCATTCTAGCGTCCTCATTCCATCCTAGGCACTCCTAGGCCATGTTTAAAACCCCATATGAGGTTAAAGGCTAGAAACACACTAAGAATAAATAAAATAAGTTATGTACAATCCGAGCGTGTGTATTCAATGTATGAATCTGCCATGTTATGTAGGTCACGCACCTCAGGATACATGAATTGCCCACTTTGCTGTCTATTCAGAGCTATCAATTATTTGTGAGTAATAACTTTGTAAAGTTACGTTCAATATTAAATATTTTCTAAACATTATGACATGAAACGATTAGTCTTCTGAAATGCTATGCTATGTTTTGAATGAATGAATGATTGTCCAAGATCATGAAAGTTATTCGTGGCATCCTTAGCATCATATGATATGCGTCTCTTTATAGGTCATTAGTTCCCTTTACGGGTCATCAGGTCCCTTATGGGTCATCAGAAACGTCTCTGTGCACATGAGTCATTAGAAAGCCTTCATGGTAGTCCCTTTTGGGTCATCAGATTTGTTAATGCTAACAGATACGCCACGTATTATGATATGATGTATGTATAAGTTTTGAATGCAAATGTAACTATGCCTATGAATCTACTCTGTTACGACATCCAATTATGTACAAGACTTTGTTTCTGTATGGACATCATTCAGTAAAATCTTTACTTTGTTATTATTCACTGGGCTTTCGCTCACCATTTATATTATGTATGTAGGTGAGCAGGCACGTGACTAGGCCTAGGGATGATGGCCTATGTTTCAGTTTTTGTCAGCCAACCTTTGTGCTTCTCGAGGAGGTTCTGAATGAAGTCAAGTTTTGTGGCTGTTTTTGTAATCATATTAGACTACGTTTATACTATGTTGTATTTGGACAAGATTTCTGATAACATGTAGATGGAGTGATGTGTAAATATTGTATCTTTTGTTGCCACTCACAAATGGACTTCGTATATGTTGTATATTTGCTTCCGCAGCTTCTACTATATGTTATAATGTCAAGAGGCCTTTGGTAATCCAAGGATTACTGGCCGGTTATGATGCTAAACCCATAGGGGCGAGTTCGGGTCGTGACAGAATGGTATCAGAGCATGAGTTATACCACACACATGAGGCCATATGAGCTATAGGATGTTCTAGTAAGAAATAGGGGCATCTCATCAACATGTATGTGAGTGAGTTCAAAAAAAAAAAAAAGGAATGAAAACTGGAATTGATCATGCACACATGACACTAAAATGAATGTTTGAACATTATGGTCAGGATTATTTGCCTATGTTTATTGCCCTTCTATTTCCCTATAGCAACATGGAGAATGCAAGGGGAAATGATGTAAGTGAATCTTCAGAGACTCGCATGAACAGAATGGAACAAATGCTTACAGCTTTAACTGAGGTGGTAATGCAACAGCAGAGACAACAACATCTACCTCCTCCATATCCACCGGCCCAAATTGAACTGGACAATAACGACATTATTAATTTGACTCAGAAGTTCATGAAAATAAAACCGCCAACCTTTCTTGGAGGAATTGAACCATTAAAGGCTAAAACATGGTTGTTAGAGATGGAGAAACTGCTTGAAGTATTTCCCTGTTCCGAGATTCAAAAAGTCTTATTGGCTACCTACACTCTGAAGGATGAAGCTCGGAGATGGTGGTTGCTAGTTCGGAATGGCAATGAGAACATGACATGGGTTCAATTCAATACTATTTTCTACGACAAGTACTTTTCCCAGTGCTTTTGAGACTGGAAGGTTACAAAATTTCAGGAACTAAAACAAGGCAGAATGTCTGTAGCTGAGTACGAAGCTAAATTTACTGAGTTAGCCAGGTTTGCTCCTCTTATGGTGGACACAGACTACAAGAAGGCTCGCAAATTTGAGAGTAGGCTGGATTTAGATATACTGGATCGGGTGAGAGTTCTGAACCTACCCACGTATGTGAATGTGTTGGACAGGGCATTAATGGCGGAAGCTATTTTGGCAGCAAAGAACAAACTCCCGTTCCACGAACTGATTGGATGGGAAAAAGTTCTGGAAATAGTTTAAAAAATGGTTGTTCATTTGCTGGGAATAAGAGACAAAATACGGGATCTTATAGTGGCTCAAGCCAAAGTAGTGGTACTACACCGACTTGCCCAGAATGTGGTAGGAAACACAAGGGGGTTTACTATCGGGCTTCAGGTGCCTGTTTCAGGTGTGGAAAAACCAATCATGTGATGAAGGATTGCCCTATTAGGCTCGAAAATGTCAACCGTCCAGCGGCAAGTTCAGCCGGATCCGCTTCTACATCCAAGATGAATATGAAAGCTAACACCGGGAAAGAGACCTTGAGGCAGAGTCGAGTATTTGCACTTGTGCCTGGTGATGTGAAGAACACTGAGTCTGTGGTGTTAGGTACAATTTCTATCTGTGCTTAGAATGCTTATGTGCTGATTAATTTTGGCTCCACGTATTCATTTGTATCGCATGCTTCTCTCATAAATTAACTAGGCCATTAGAACCTATGAACTGTCTATTATCTAAATCTGCGTCATCTAGGGGTTCCATGATATGTGCTTATGTATACCTGACATGTGATGTTTTGATTGGTGGTATGACATTATATGTTGATTTGTTGCCCTTAAGCATCGATCATTTTGATTGTATTCTAGGTATGGATTGGCTGACTAAATATTGTGCTACTATTGATTGTGTGAACAAAATCGTCACGTTTAAATCACCTGGTGTGCCTGAGTTTACTTTCACTGGGAATGGGGTAGTTCCTTCACCATACTTAATTTCGTTTATGAAAGCTAAGAAATTGTTAAGGAAAGGTTGTCGGGCATACTTATGCTGTGCATTGACTGAATCCTTAGATAGCACCGGTGTAGAAACCATTCTTGTGGTCTGTGACTTTTCTGATGTGTTTCCCAATGATCTACCTGGGGATCTAGTTGATAGGGAAATTGAATTTACCATCGATATAATACCTGAAACACAAACATCTCCAAGACTCCATAGAGGATGTCGACTTCTGAATTGAAAGAGCTAAAAGTCCAACTCCAAGAACTCTTAGACAAGAAATTCATCCATCTGAGTACCTCACCTTGGGGTGCTTCGGTTTTATTTGTTAAAAAGAAAGATAGATCTTTGAGACTATGTATTGACTACCGTGAGTTGAACAAAGTGACCGTCAAGAACAAGTACCCACTACCCCGAATTGATGACATGTTCGATCAACTTCAGCGAGCCCAAGTGTTTTCTAAGATTGACCTTAGATTTGGGTACCACCAGTTAAAGGTCAAGGCAGAAGACGTAGAGAAGACCGCATTCAGAACTAGATATGGGCATTATGAATTCTTAGTCATGCTATTTGGGGTAACCAATGCACCTACTGCTTTTATGGACCTTATGAATAGGGTGTTCAAATAGTTTCTGGATGAATTCGTTGTTGTATTTATTGATGATATTTTGATTTACTCCAAAAGCAAGGAAGAGCATGAGAACCATTTGAGAACTACCTTGCAGATTTTGAGAGAAAAAAAATTGTATGCAAAACTGTCCAAGTGTGAATTCTGGCTTGACAGTGTAGCATTTATGGGGCATGTAATTAATAAGGATGGCATCTCTGTTGACTCACAAAAAATTGAAGCTATTGTGAACTGGCCTAGACCGACAAATGTGACAGAAGTTAGAAGTTTTCTGGGACTTGCAGGTTACTACAGAAGGTTTGTGAAAGGTTTTTCAAAACTTGCCATGCCATTGACCCAGTTAACTCAGAGAAACGTATCATTTGATTGGAATGAACAGTGAGAGTCGGCCTTTCAGGAGTTGAAAACCAGACTAGTGACTGTACCAATTTTGACCTTGCCCAATGGTTCAGTTGGATTTCAGATTTACAGTGATGCATCTTACAAAGGTTTGGGCTGTGTACTAATGCAAAATGGGAAGGTAATTGCCTATGTATCTCGACAACTTCGTCCTCATGAAAAGAATTACCCGACCCATGATCTTGAACTGGCAGCCGTGGTGTTTGCCTTGAAAATCTGGCGTCACTACTTGTATGGGGTAACCTGTGAAGTGTATACTAATCATAAAAGCTTGAAATATCTTTTCACCCAAAAAGAATTGAACATGAGACAGATGAGATAGTTGGAGCTAATCGAAGATTATGATTTACAGATTTTGTATCACTCCGGGAAAGCTAATACTGTAGCAGATGCCTTGAGCTGAAAATCAATAGGAAATCTATCATGTTTGCTTACCAGCCAGAGGGAATTGTTATACGACTTGGAGAAGAATGAGATTGAGATTGTGGTACATGAACAAGGTGGGGTTTTAGCTGCCATTTCCGCTCAACCTACAATCATTGAAGAAATCAAACAGAAGCAACTTGAAGATGAGTACTTGAAAAAGATTGTGGAAGAAGTTGACATAAAGCCAAGGCCAGGGTTTGTGTTTGAAAATAATGTGTTGAAATTTCATAATAGACTCTGTGTACCAGATTCCTCTGATTTAAGGAAGCGTATTATGACCAAAGCTTACAACACCAAATTTTCCATACATCCGGGGAACACAAAGATGTATTATGATTTAAGACAGAATTTTGGTGGCCTGGAATGAAAAAGTGCATTGCAGATTTTGTGACTAGATGTTTACACTGCCAACAAGTTAAAGCTGAACATCAACGATACGTTGGTTTGCTATAACCACTTCCAATACCAGAATGGAAATGAGAGCACATTACCATGGACTTCATTGTGGGATTGCCTCGCTCCTCCCGAGGTATGGATTCTATTTGGGTCATTGTGGATCGTTTAACCAAGTCTGTTCATTTCCTACCTGTTAAATCTATTTACAATGCTGACAAATTGGCCAATATTTATATGAATGAGATTGTGAGATTACATGGGGTGCCAGTATCTATTGTAACTGACAGGGACTCAAAGTTTGTGTCAAGATTTTGGCAGAGTTTGTAACAGGCTTTGGGGACAGAACTGAGGTTGAGTAGCGCCTACCACCCACAGACAGATGGTCAAACTGAACGAACCAATCAAACCTTGGAAGATATGCTCAGAATGAGTGTGTTAGATTTCCAAGGAAATTGGGAGACCTATTTGCCATTGGCTGAGTTTGTTTATAACAATAGCTACCATTCAAGCATCGGAATGGCTCCTTACGAAGCTTTGTATGGTAGAAAATGTCGATCTCCAATATGTTGGACCGAAGTAGGTGATAGACCTTTGTTGGGACCAGAACTTGTGCAAGAAACAACTGAGAAAGTGAAACTGATCCAACAGCGCCTGAAAACTGCACAGAGCCAGCAAAAGAGCTATGTTGATGTCCGAAGAAGAGACAAAGAATATGAAGTCGGGGATCACGTGTTTATTAAAGTAACTCCAATGAAAGGGCAAACGCGGTTTGGTGTTAAAGGCAAATTAGCACCAAGATATGTTGGACCATATGAAGTTCTGGAGAAAATCAACCCAGTGACGTATCAAGTAGCTTTACCTCCGGTAATGGAGCATATGCACAACGTTTTTCATGTCTCTATGCTTTGGGAGTATTTGAGAGATCTGCGACATGTAATTGAGCCAACACATGTGCTTTTAAAAGATGATTACACATATGAAGAACGGCCAATTCAAATTGTTAACCGAAGAATCAAAAGACTAAGGAACAAAGAAATCCCTTTGGTGAAAGTTGATTAGCAGAATCATGGGGGAACCTATGCAACTTGGGAAACGAAAAAAGACATGGTGAAAAGATATCCTGAGTTGTTCCCTCTGAATCCGGTGTTCTTCTAGAACGAAGATAACTCAAGTTTGGAGGACCAAACTCTTTAAGGGGGAAAGACTGTAACAACCCCGATCTCTGATTAACATTAATTCATGATTAATTATGTCTATTGAGTAATAAGGAAAAACCCTGAGTTAATTATATGTGCAATTGCATTATTTTGTGTTTATATCTGTTAGGCGTAGAAAGATCTGTTTATGTTTAGTTTCGGTTGTGAATTAAAGGCCTTGTCGGCATCCGAATCAGAAATTGACTTGATTCATGTGCTAATTAGGATTTTTAGAATTTTATGGTAAGTTCAATTGAAAATCGATTTGGAACGAATAAATTAGAATAATTAGTGCCAATGTGATTAACTTAAGTCAATTTAATCAAGCCAATTTAAATAAGCCTATATAAGGCCACTTTAACTCCTTTAGTTGGGGATTACACTTTCCTTTTCCTTTATTTGATGCTCAAAAATGTGGGAGAGAATGAGAGGGACGAAAATTGAGATCAAAGTTGAATTAGGGGAGAATTGCTTGAAATTGTGGACATTTGAAGAAGATTTGGGAGTTTCAACTTCAACTCTTGTGAATTCAAGACTTAAGGTGGGAATCCACCCACTTAATTGTGCAATTGAGTTAATTCATTTATGAATTCAAGTGAATTGAGCTATGAGATGTAAGAATCAAGCTTAAAAAGTAAATAGAAAGATCAATTCATGCATGCATGTACATTTCAATGCATTGAGAGCATGTTACTAGGAGATTCCCTCATGCATGTTTGAAATTCATCTTAATTTAGGGAAATCATCAAGTTTCAAGTTGTTTTATAGCATTTGATCATGTTTTGAGAAGCTCAAGATCAAGAGAATTTATGCATGTTATGTTCATGAAACATTCAAAAAGATTAAGTTTGAAATTGTGTACAATTGGCATTCTTTTGGGCCATGATTTTTTGAAATGATCCTTTAAACATGTTGTTTTATGAGGTTCTAAATGTTTTCCAAAATTTTGGCCCAAGATGATGAGTTTTGAAGTGTTTGGTTTGAGTTTGAAGCTTGGAGATCAAATCTGGAAATTCCAAATTTTTTTGCATTCACGCTCGAGCGTAGAAGTTCAAGCTCGAGCGAGCACTCTGAGTGCATGCACTTTCGCTCGAGTGACCATAAGCTCGCTTGAGCGTGAAATGTATGTATCCAGAAGTTCATTTGTTTTGCAGCACACTCGAGCGACATAAATCACGCTCGAGCGAGGGTCTGAGTTTCACGCTTGAGCGGGGATGGAGCGTCATTCGAGCGTGAAAAACAGGTAACCAGCACTTTTTCAAAGTTTACAATCCGCTCGAGCAAGGGAAGTCACACTCGAGCGAACCTTCATTTCTTGCATATCCGCTCGAGCGTGGACTCTGTTTTCAACAAAATTTGAAAGATGTTTTCAAGTGCATTCTAACATCCTCATTTCATCCTAGGCACTCCTAGGCCATGTTTAAGACCCCATATGAGGTTAAAGGCTAGAAACACACTAAGAATAAATGAAATAAGTTATATACAATCTGAGCGTGTATATTCAATGTATGAATCTGCCATGTTATGTAGGTCACGCACATCAAGATACGTGAATTGCCCACTTTGCTATCTATTCAGAGCTACCAGTTA